TATAAACAAAAAATCATTAAAATCAAAAGAGTTAACTGAAAAGGCTCCTTCGTAAGCTTCGAAATTTTGCAGAAGCTTGTGTGAAAAAACGACAAAAGTACTCATAGTAAGTGTCTGGACGTCTAGAAATGTATGACCTCCCTCTTCCCTATCCAGATTTGATATACCCTCACCCTTCTCCCATTTTTATGAATGTGCTTCATGGATGACCCCTAATAAGACAGCTTACAATATATTTTCAAGTTAAAAGCATTACTAGAGAAAAAATATAAGAAGATAAGGGGCTGCTTAGTCACCGAGCCATATTTGTGGAGAAGACAGACTTTCTGTTTACGATTCTAGAGACGGCTAAGCCCCCTACAGTCTCCATCTTGTTATGCCAGTATCACAAATACGACTTAAATGTACATGTTTACATTCTTTATAAAACAAAACAGATATTTCAATTAATATAACTCGTAATCAATTTGTTTTTGTTGAATTATTTTTAATTCATTAAAACAATTTGTAAATATGGTGGCAATGAAATCTTTTTCAATTTCAATACATTTCTTTGATGCCTACCAGTAGGATTCTTTTATTGAAAAAGAAAAAAATAAAGGCACTCATTACAAATAACTTTACAAATGAAAAAAGGTAGATGCATGAAGCAGAAATAAACGCCCGAAAATTCAGAATCGAAGGAGCACTGTTCATTCATTCATCAAACGGAATGTGAAGAAAAAAAAAGAACACTATATATATGTATATTTATAATCATCACTGGTTTTTGTGATTATTTCTGTTTATAAAAATTCGTACGAATAATCTAACCATTTAGATCTGCATCATGAACGTATGTAAATCCTGGAAATGATGAACCTTTATTTGTAACACTTCCAATATATTGGTCAGTCACACCAGGAGATACTCCAGCATCAATAAATTCTTTTGGAATTTGATTTAGATCTGTTGGACTCGAAACTGGTGGTTTCCATGGTGGTGGAATTTTTCTTGCTTCTAATTTTTCCCAATCAATTTGATCAAAAAATGGTTGGCGTTTTATTTCAGCTACATCCTCTTGTCCACTACCTAAACGTTCATTTGGACTTTTTTTTAATAACTAAATACAAAAGAAAAAGAAAATTTTTCAAATTTATTTTGTTTTGTAGAAAATAACACCTGTTCAATTAAATTTTTAGCACGATCCGATACATTTCCAATAAAACGAAGCGAACGATTTAATATGTTATCATACATTTCATTAACATCACGCGAATAAAATGGTGGCTAAAACAAAATTTCAATTAATTTTAAATAAATAAATAAATTTTAATACATACTCGAGCACATAACATTTCATAAATAACTGAACCTAAACACCACCAGTCAACAGCTTTTGTATATGGCTCACGTCGTAGAACTTCAGGTGCAAGATATTCTGGTGTTCCACAAAATGTTGCTGTTCGTCCTTCGCGTCCTTCAGTTGATAACATTACTTTACATAAACCAAAATCAGTTAAACGAATATGTCCCTAAAATATTTTTTTTTAAATAAAAATAAAATTTTTTCTTTTTTTTTTTAAAATATATACCTCTCGATCTAGTAAAATATTTTCTGGTTTTAAGTCTCTATAAATAATATCAAGTTTATGAAGATAACCAATAGCTGATGTTATTTCAGCAGCATAAAACCTTGCACGTTGTTCTGTAAATGCGCGTTCTTGTTGTAAATGATAGAATAACTTAAATAAATAAATAATCTTATTTTAATGGAAAGAAAATCTTCAAAGAAAAAAGACGAACGTACTTCACCACCATTAACAAAATCCATAACAAAATAAAGTTTGTCTGGTGTTTGAAAAGAATATTGAAGAGACACAAGAAATGGATGACGAGTATTTTTAACAAGTACATCACGTTCAGCCATTATATGACGTTCTTCACGTTTTCGTTTGATTAATGCCTTACTAACAACTTTAACTGCATAAATTGTATCTTCACTTTTATGTCGAGCTAAATATACTTTTCCAAATGAACCCTTTCCAATACATGTACGAAATTCGAAATCATCAGGGTTAACTCTACAGGAAAAAACAACGGAAATATATTTAAAGAAAACTAATAGCGTCATATAAATAATATAAATACGTACGAAGTCTTTTCCGTCTTTCCTAAATTCACCCGAGTAGTATCGGACTAAATACAATAGTAATGGATATTTACGAATGCATAAAGAAATTTTTAAAAGTTTCTTTTCAATTACCGATGTAGATTGATCTTCCGTATTATCATTTCCTCTAGCACCATCATCATTATCATTCATTGATGATGATGCACCTGCTGTTAAGATTGGTGATCCATTTGATGACGTTACATTAAGTCCAAAGAATTCGATAAATTCAGGTCTAAAATAAATAACCGTAATTGACATATCTAATGAAACGTCAATAGACAGGCATCGACAATGTGTTAGTAGAAATATGCACTGAATCAAAATGTAAGATAAACAGAAAAAAAAATAATCATCCGATTTTTTGACATTTAATTAATATTTATGTATATATATATAAAGCAGAGTCTCATAAGTATTCATTAGTACTTACAAATTAACAAGTTGTGCATTCCGAGATATTCGTTGAACATATTCATTGAGACCACGTAAACGTTTCGATACGAAGTCAGGTTCAAAAGAATCTCCTATAAGTCGGCGACCAGGTAACTTAAGATCAGAACGAGTACGACGAAGCTAAATAGAGACATAAAGTTTAATGGATTACTAGATAAACAAAACGAACGGAAAGAAAAAAACAAAACAAAAAAAAGATTTCCAACCTTTTCATTCAATGTGTTAAATTCTTTATAGCGTCTCCATATTTCCCATTCTCTTCCATTATAATTAACAGAAACTTTGTATTTTGTAAATTTACGTCCATTTTCTGCACTTGTTTGAGCATCAACAACACGAAGTGCTAGTGAATCATTTATAGTTGATGTTGAGCTGCTCGCTGTTGAGTTACTCATTGTTTCTGGAAAAGCAAAATAAAAAACAAAAATAAAATAAGATTACATCATCCATATTAATCGTAATGACAACATTAAGATAAAAGTAAGGAAAAACGAGTAAATATTGACTCTTGTAAAAAGAAAAAAAAAGAAAGGGATTAGTAAAAAGTAAGAGGAAGAACTCGTTAATATGAACGTTTCATATTGAAGAAAGGTAATAAACTGCGTAGAAAAGATTGCATGTCAATTTTTAAATACCTAAACAAGACATAATTGTGTTACAACAACAGAAATCGTGCGAAATCGTTGGCTCACTTTGTCGACAAGGCTGCCTTCTGTTTTCCTTCTTTTTTTTACGTCTTCTTTTTTTTTTCAACATAAAATCCAAACGCACAAGCGCGCGTATAGAATGCAAAAGGACAATAACACGTGCGTTTTCATTCTTTCCTCTTTGTCAGTCAGTCAGCAAACGAGCCATAAAGCATACTCAGAATATTCTCTCTCCTGTTCGTTCTGTGTCTGTTTGGTTTTTATTCTTCTTCCTCTTCTGTGCTTCACATCCTTTTGCGTTTGTTATAACCACTAATAACCATATATAGCATACTGCATTACTTTTACAATTTCCGTGAATTTACATTTTCTAAAAGCTTTATTTTCGATCATTACGTTCAAAAGAAAAAATAAAGATATAGCATGCAGAAAATTGAATGTCTGATGAAATAATTATTCTATTAAAAAAATAAGAGACAAACGTTTGGAAAACAATGCTTTTATCTCTTTCTCCTCACCTGATGGTTTGAGTGATTGTCCCCATCTTTTCTGTAGTTTAAACATAGATAATTCTGTATTAATATAAGAAAACAATAGAAATGAGATGTAGTTTGTTGTCGTTTTTTGCTAAGAGTCGCCGCGTTTTAAATAACACATCCTTATCATTCCAGACATCTGCTCCTCTTTCTCTATCCGTCTCTCTTTCTATCTGTTTTTTTGGTTTGGCTATTTCTAGCGTCCAATCTATACATTATTATTGTTCTTATATATACATAGAAGTAATGACACAGCAAAATCTATCAGTCAAGAATAGCTTATAACTGTTTTATCAATTGTAATACAACAATGAAAAGGCGAAGAAATGTATATACGAAGAATTGATAAACGGATATTTTCGAAGGAAGAATGCAATGTAAGAAGTAGAAAATAGGCAGAAAAATTCTATATGTTATCGTCATTGGGAATATTAAGAAGGTCATAGATACAGGAAAACAAACTTACTAAACCACGCTGGCGTATTACTAATGATAATGTTCGAGATAAAAGTCGATAAAATAATCATATTGCTATGTGGATAATCAACATCTTCTAACAAATCTCTGCTTTTATTTTGTCACCTTAACATCATCACATGTCTCACTTGCGAACGTGAACATATGTCATTCATCAGATACGTCATTAGATTGCTTCGTTTTCCTATAATAACAGCAATGATAGAGTAAAAACAAGAGTTGAAAACAAAATAAAAAGACGAAGAAGAAATAAGAGATAGACATACGAGAAAAATCCGTTGTAAAGAAGAACATCATAGGCACTGTAATAATATCTATCGTATATTTCTTTCTGCGATGACACCATTCCAATTACTATTATACGTTGATTTCTTTTCATTTCTGACAAGCATAGAGACTTCATAGAAATCCGGAACTCCCTATGGCAAGGTATATTTGATAATAATCAACAGATAATATAAACATGATTCAATTCTATTTTTAATATCTAGAGGCTTTTTACATGCTAAAAAAAAACAACTTATTTAATATCATCATACGATTAGGAATTCTTTGCTGCATCGATACAATCCATCTCAATCAGTTCTTATGCCGATCTATATCTATAATCAATTTTGACATTGTTTTTTTCAACGATTTTCTGATTGTAGTCGTGTTGTTTGCAAATATTTTGATTGTATTCGCACATTCGACTATCGTTTCCGGTTACACCAAAAAAATGCATCTCGTTTTGTTTTTATATTAATTCTGAACATATATAGAAATATTGAAAGAATGCTGTGCATTGTCACATTTATGCAGACTATTATTCCGATAGAAAAATTCCTTGATGTCACTAATTATTTGAAGATTTGTGTCGTCTGTTTATATCAACAAGTCTATCTTTAAATCAAACCAATTATAAAAAAAAACTAGATTAACAACACGACACTTTGTTGTAATATTGAATGTACGTCAAAAGAATCATAGACAAATTTGTATAACATTGGTATACAATCCTATTTTATGCCTTGTCATTTTAATAATGATATAAAATAAATGTCGCCCTTATTTTCTATGAATAACATCGTCATCTACAATAATGTCTTGTTTCGTGTCATTCTTTTGCAAGCAATTACCGATGATCATCATACAGAAGACTGATACGATATGCTTATTTTAATGTCTACAACAATAAAAAAAAGAAAGAACCGGAAAGACGCTTCATTCAAGAATAGACTATAGTTTAGAATAAACTAATACTAATGAGGAACAATGTAGTAGTCTATATTATCTACTGTTATTTATGAAATTGAATTGTACAGAACATTTGAAGTAAAATTAATAGAAAGAATTATTTATTGATTTTAAAGATTCTTTTCGTTGAAGGATAAAAAACATGTTACATAGAAATGCATTTATATAGTTAGAAATAATTTCATAACTTACTCTTGGTCGAAAAACACATTGTTAATAAAGCTGCACAATATTTGTGCAGAACAAATCCTTGATTTTTTTCAGGCAAAACCAACAAGATTACAATGATAATTTGTATTTAAACTTCTTCTTAGCGTTTCCTTTTTGAAGTGAACGCTCCCGACTACTTGTGAATTCTTAGTTATTTTTTCTCTTTTATTTTTTTTCTCCCTCTCTCTCTCTCTCTCTCTTTCGTTGTCGCTAAGTCATATACAATTTCTCTAATTTGCTTACAAGAAGTTTCAGACACTAAGAACAAGAGAAATACGAATTTGAATTGCTTATCATTGTCTTGTTTAATAACAAATATCATCTATCGTTCCGTCTTTCTGACTAAATTCATGTTAATAGCGACTAAATATATTCAAAAATAAACGAAAGAAAATTTTATTTTGTCAATATTAGAGACATAATCATATAGAATTNAATAAACGAAGTTTTTCCATAATTTAATATGATTTTTTTTCTGTGAGTCCGTCACCAAAAATATTTCTCCATTAGTGATGTATAAATATCTAGCGGTTCTAGGCAAACGAAATCTTTTTTACTGTATCTTCATTGCATGAGCGATTTCTTACAATATTGAACATATTGTTTCCTTCAAAGAAAAACTTCTCACTGATACATATATTTTTTTAGTTCAATTTTTCATAGTTTTCCAATTTATCTCAGATATACAAGAATAATCTAATTAAATAGCTTTTGATTGATCATTGTATCTAATAAAAGGTTGGTATGATTCACTGAAATCAGTCGAATATATAATTACTATATTAAAATAGAGACAACATTAAATTCGAAGAAACGACGAATAAATTCAATAAAACAAACAAATTTAGCATCTATTGTTGATGATGATGATTTAGAAACTACAACGAAAAAAAAACGAAAATCTTCGAAAAAAAAATCTGAATTGATAACTTCATCACAAGCAACACGGGCTGTTACTACCCTTGAAACAATAACACCACGTCAAGAAGATTCTGATCAAAATAGTGTTATATTATCTGGTCAAAGTCAACAATAATCTTATATAAAATGTTAAAAGGTATTCACAATAATTTCACAATACTGTCTACAGAATTATCATGATATAACTTTTTTCTTCTCATTAGATTGTTGGCATGCTTGTTCAATTTGGTCCAACATATGTGATCAATTAATTTTATTATTTCTTTTTCTGAAAACTTTATAAAAACTGATTTCTCGTCATTTACTTGTATATGATATTTTTTATCAACTTATTCTGATTGATACATACTGATGATATGTTTTCTAATTGGTATATTCTGTTGAACTATTCTAAGTCATATTATTCAGTTTCTATGTAACCGGTTGAAATATTTTATAATTGTCAACTTTTGAAAAGTAATTGTTTTCTTCATTGTCGATTTCTATAGCTATTATTCACAATTGTGATTGTGGTGAACTTATTTGTGAAAATATGTGATTTATTTTATATAACTTTTTGAAATTATAATAAATATAACCTAATTGAACAACAGTAGCAATGAATCTCATTCACATAAAATTAACTTCTTTTTCTAAAACTCAAGCTTTTGCGAAGAGGAGTTTAACTTTCATGGCTGTGTAATAAAAAAAAAGATTAGAATAGGTCGGTAAGTGTACACACTATCAACTAAAACATCGTTAAGACTCAGGTTGCTTAATTTAGATAACCTATCATTTACAAGCAACACTAGTTTTGAATTCTTGTTACTAACTTAAAAAGAAAGATTTCGTTTGCCTAGAACCGCTAGATATTTATACATCACTAATGGAGAAATATTTTTGGTGACGGACTCACAGAAAAAAAATCATATTAAATTATGGAAAAACTTCGTTTATTGAAAAAAAATTATTTTCTGTACAATTTTCGTGCGCTGTTGTTATTAGGAACATTTTTTTGCTGGCTGTTGTTATTTGGATCACTGTTCCTAATAACAACAGAATTAATAATTTTAAAAATTTAATAACTTTTTCAATTTAGCAGATAAAAATCTGAACTTCTGGAAATATATAGTTTAATAAATAAGGAACATATTTTGTCATTGGAATATTTCAAAATTCTGAATTTTTCATACTAAAAAAACTGATTTAAAAAAGTTTTCTTTCCTTCCATGTATTTTATATGTAGTGTTGTAATTAGGAACATTATTTTGCTGGCTGTTGTTATTAGGAACAGCGCACTTAATAACAACAAACTCAATTTTTCAGATTCTACCGCTAATTACTCAGCCAGTTTTTAAGATAGAAAAGTGATTTTTTTACCATTCGACGCAGAAAATATTTTTCTACTCAAAAATATAAAAAAATCTAGACTTTTACAGAAGATGATGTAGTTATTAGTGAAATTATAGAGACCTCTAAAATATCTGTTGTTATTAGGAACACTGACTGTACCATTTTCACAACGTTTGATAATGGAATAGATTGTTGAGCGTGGAATGCCTTCCATTTAAAAATGCTTAACAATGTCAACTTTCGTCATTTGCCCAAAAAGATGATAAACACGTCGTCGAACATCAACTTGTTTTACAATACGTGAACTCATTGTCGAAATATGTTACATATATCTAGAAAGAGAAATGAAAGGGCTATCCATCCACATAAAACTCAAAATAAAAATGAAGGATTTAAAGAGTTTTTTTCGCTAGACATATTGTCCAGAAATTTTCGAGACAGACGTTATACTCCGATTATATTTTCAAGTGCATCGAACATAGATAATCAGTTTTAACGGCTGCTACACATACGGAAAAAGGCGAATTCACAAGATTCCGCATCCCCATAAGCACAACGGAAATCCTTGAAATCCAAGCAGCACGATGGTAATCCCTGGAAAACGATGCATCCTATAGAGAACCCATAACTTCTAATGATGTATCCAATGGAAGTGTTATAAGTCCTCAATGCTTATCCTATGAGAGTATTTATAAGTCATCATCGCCTATCAAATGGGGTACCCGTAACTCCACAAGACCTATCCTATGGAGGTACACATAAGTCCTCAAAGCCTATTCTATGGGTTATCCATAAGTGCTCTAGGACAATCCTACGGGCGTACTCATAAGTCTCCAAAGCTGTCCTATAGGGGTACCTATAAGTAGGTTTGTGACTGCTCCGATACAGTTCACTGAGCTGATGCTGTCTACCAGCTCTTCAACTGAGCTCTTGTGAGCTGTGTAATGGAAGCTGTGATGCACTAAAAGTTCAATCCATGCTTGATTAAAGAGGAATCCAAAGTTGAGCCCAATTTATCAAACGCAATGCCCTGGAAATAATACTAATTGTGAAGTAAAACCACTTCATAACGTTCCTCAATTACGTCGAGCTGAAAAGAAGAGTCCACTTTTACTTCTTAACGGAAAACTCAAATACACAATTATTACATGATCCTTAAACCAATATTTCATACTACATCAAAATGTAGTTAGTGGATGACGTACGAGTGGCGTCCTTATAACAGTTATGCGCTCTGTGTCTAAAAGCCCTTGAAAACCTACGAGGAGTAATGCTAGATATTTCTTGAACAGTTAGCGGTACCTCACACTCCTCCACCGAAGAGCCCTTGAAAAGGAACCAGAACTACCGCAAGACAGTACTTGAAGAGTTAGCCACACTAAACATCAATTGGCCTTGCGAACTAATGGGTACCACTATAGGATAGGCCATGAGGATTTATGGGTTCCCATATAGGATAGACCTTGAGGACCTATTAATTCGGTCCTAGGGTAGACCTTTAGGGGCTTGAAGCGCATCCCCCTGGGTAGCCGTAGGAAACAATGAGATAGCTCATACGAAAAGATTGTGGTGATGGTAGGTTGAAATTAACCTAACACTAAAACAAAAAAGTGAGGAAAACCTTAAAAACTCAAAACAGTCCGATAAAATCGGTATATCCAAGAAAATCCGAAAATCCAAAAAAAAACCAAAAGAATCTGAAATAATCCCAAAATCCCAAATCAGCTTTTTTTCCCCTTGATCATTTGTCCCTTTTCGATTATACAGTGTTATCATTCACGAAAATCGTCCATATTTAATATCTGTCTGCATCACACATGTTTCTTGATCGATGTTAAGCTTTTCTTTTCCCATTTCCTTCTCATTTCTTTCTCTCTCTTTCTTTCGCCTTGGATCTTGTAGTATCAATGGATCGTTTACCTTTATCTTTCTCTTTGTCTTGTTTCCATAAAATGTTGTTTCAAACTGTTTTTTTCTCGCTACACGAGCGATATTCACTCATAGCATAGCGCTTTCTAGTTATCATTCGAGTAAAAAAAATAGGTAATATATTGTAGCCATTATCTAGCGACACCTCTGGCAAAGCTAAATCAATGATCACAATGAAATTTTTGTCGACTAATCAAATTATCAGTTTTCTTTCTTTTCTTTTCAACATTCCTATTGTCTGCTTGGTTAGAAAATACAAGTAATCCACTCATTCACTCATTCATTTATTGTTTGATGCAGATAGCATGTGTTCGTATAACTTTTGCGGTTACATAATCTTCTTATTAAACATATGTAAAAAAAAAATATATATTACACAATTATAGTCAAAATACTTTTATGTCAAATTTTCATTCACTTCTAGATATTCTCATAATGATAAATCTGTAACTAAACTAGATTAATGGTGCTAAATTGTGTGTGCTTAAATCAAATTTTGACTTGAATTTAGTCTTTATAACAATAGATCATTTTCATATTCATTATACAGTTAGTGATAAACAATAATTGAATGAAATTAATAATCGAAAAATATTAGTAAAAAAAAAACAAAATTTATATTAATAATGATAGTAATAATTAGCTTTTAGTATATAAAATCAATTGATTCAAAAACTATTAGATTCATTCTTGTTTTATTTATACTTCAAGGTATAATGTTTATTATTATTATTATTTTTTGCTTTCGATTTCATCGTAATCAGATATGTTAGTAGTTGTTCATTTCCTTAGTGAAAATTCATCTCCACTTTTCCTGTTCTAAATAAAAATAATGATGAAAATATCTTTGAATATATCTGTTCTACTCTTATTTTTCAGACTTTATTATCGAATAGATTTATATCTTAGGGTAATAATAATCCTCTATTGTATACTGAATAGTTTTCACAACGAAAGATATATCGGTTCAACATACATCGACTGGATTATACCGATGATGAGATTTTCAGCAAGATCAGGTTAAAAAATAGACTTTCCAAAAATCTAATACTTTAGAGCTCTACTTATGTCTTTTTATTTTACTATCATCTTGAGATCTCCGAGAAGGATTCGTACTGTATAGAATTGGTTCTTGAACTTATCATTTAGATTTTTTTTGTTTGTATATTCATACTTACTCACATTGCTAACTGCGAATAAACACTACTGTTTGAAAAAACTAATCATTTTCACAAAAAAACTTAGCGTATTGATGTTTGTATTTTAAAAAGTTTTCAACAAAGCGCATTATTTAGTTTTCAAAAATACTGTTTGAAGTTGCAGAAACCTTTGCCGTGTTTTTGTGTCATATCGCAAAAGTTATCTTTTCAATAAAGACTCGCAAAGAAACCTCTTCAGCTGTTCTTCTTTTGATTTTAACGATCCTTTGCTTATAGATACTACATAACGTTCTTGTAAGAACTCTGAAAGGATTTGGGTTCATATTGATATTTGACTAGACTGCTGCACTTTTACTATGCCTAGTTTGTAAAGACTCCATGCTTTCAGAAAACTCGTATTTCGGGAAAGCATGGAATCTTTAGAAAATAGATACATTCCAAAATTCAATAGCTTAGTCAAATATCAATAGAAATTCAAATCCCGTTAGAGTTTTGATTAGAATATTATGTAGTATCTACAGAGAAAAACCATTGAAACCTGAATGGAGCAGCTGAAAGAATTCCTTCATCAGCAGAACCGAGATCTATAGGACTGACGAGGAAATCCATCCAACTCATAATCTTCGCTTGATCTCGTAGGCAGAACTCATAGTTGAAATAACAATCCTCAAAGAGTTTGTATCATTAGACCTTT